CAATCCATCCGATTCTTCAACCAATGATTCAACAATGGGGACTGTTCGAACTGATGCTGTTTCAACCTTCTTGGCAATTGCAACACGCTCCTTACGAATCTGCATAGGAGCTTCATCAATGAAAGTGCAACACTTCTTGCAGAAAGTACGGTGTGTTGATTTGCTGGATCCCCTAAAATCGGTGTCATCATGAGGGCAATTTTCAGGGGACATCAACGGTACCATGTCACGCCTTGTTGTTTCGGAATGACCGCACACAAGACAGGTCTTCCTGATGGTGTACCCCGTAGAACCTTGTTTTGTAAACTCACGGCATTCCTGACACTTGTTCGGCAAAGGAGGATTTGGGGGTTTCTTTCTGCCAGTTCCCCGAGTCACCAACAAATCTCGGTGCTCGACACGCTCAACAGGGACTTCGCGCAAGTGAATCCCATCAGCACCAACCACAAAGTACTTGTCAACCCAATTCAACCATGTGACATAGTATGGACTCTTGGGGGTATGTTTCTTGGCATGATGATAGTATCCTGTCTGTTCAAACAACACATTCCAAAAAGACAAACCCTTGAACTGTCCAACAGGAAAGATGCACCCATGGTCCTCGGGTCTCATTGTAACATCGAGATCCCGGGAAATCAAGCCAACGTTGCTGCTGGATGCTGCTGCACGTGAAGGTCTGCTGCTAGGCTTCGCTTGTCGAACTGCCATCATAGCAACTGCATCTCTGTCACGGTCAGGTGAAGCCGTCAAAGTCACACCATCATCATCTGAAGAATCGCTCATGTCGGCAAAGTGAGCTGCGGGCTTTGGGGCTGACTTTCCAGGGGCTCCGGCTTTCGACCCCGGGAATTTACATTCCGGGTCACCGGCCCAGTGCCCTATGACTCCGCATCTCAAACATTTGCTCTTCGACTTCAGCTCGGTGAGCTTCCGTCTCCTCTGATCGATCGTGAGGTTGGACTTCACGATCTTTCCTTTCCCCTTTCCTTTGGGCTTCCCAAAGGATTTGCCCTTGCCACCTGCTTTCCCCATTGCAGTGAAAGCAGCAAGTTGTAGCTGGATGGCGTCTCCTGCTTGTCGATCATCTTCTGCACCTTCAACTTCAAGCAAGCTGTTCAATGCAACTGCTTCGTACTCATCGACGTCGTCAAAGTAATCAAATTCGTTGTCACCTTCTAGGTTTCCTGGCTCCTCTTCTGCAATGTCACCAAGCATGCCAACATATGAATCATCCTCCCAGGATTGATCCACAGCTTCATCCCAAGGTTCTGCATGTTCCTCCCCATCATCGGGGTAGGCTGCATAGGCTGCTTGGGAATACGATCCCTTCGAAGAAGGTTTGCCTTTGCCATAACCTTTGCCTGACGACTTGCCATGCTGTTGAGGATTACCACGTCCTGTCCAGGATCGTGACCCTTCTCGCAAGTGAGTGCCACTGTAGTTCTCGATCAGCACCTTGCCAACACCTTCAAAATCCTTAGTGTCTGCACAGGCCTTCACAACGAGGATCTCCTGTCGATTGAGCCCACTCAACTCTAACATCAACTCTGTCCTCAAGCTGTCTGAAAACACCATTGTGTCATCCAACTCGCATAGCATGTGCCACCAACGTCGTCTCCTCTGAACATAGGAAAGCATGGGTTCGCCTGGTTGGCGAGACAAAGGACCACCTTGCTTCTGTCCTGCTCGAAATAATTCCTTGGCTTCCTCACGGGCTCTTGGAAACACATGGGATTTGATCTCACCCACAAGTTTCACAAGGCCACCAGGTTTGGACAACACTTCAAGTCCAAGATCCCTAGCTATTGAGAAAGCATCTCCTCTCAGTCCTTCAATCACCTTGTTGACCAATGGTCCACGGTCAATGTCTGTCTTCTGCTTGCCGGACTTCGAGGATTTTCGGCTCGCTCCAGACTTCGGAGTCGAGACTGCTGATGTAGGCTGGGCTGCTTGAGTAGCACCCGACAAATCTGGAAAAGTAGCATACTCATCTGCATCTTCTGCGGCAGGCTCTGTTGCTGTGGTCCCAACGGGATCCGCAGGCTTACTTGTCTCCTCCTCCAATTGCTGCTCATAAAGACGAATCCGAAGGAGAGTCCTGAACTGCCAATCATGAAAGTTCGCCGCATCACCTGCATAGATGTATGATCCACTCTTCGTCTCAAGTGGTGCCGACGAATGGCGTTCCTGATTGAAACGAAGGCCATTGATCGACATGATGCTCGCTCCGTTCGGAGTCGAACAAGGAAAAAAACGTTAACAAGTGTCTGCCCTGGTCAGGGTCAGACAGATTCCCGAACCACGACACACTCGAAGTTCAGTTGATTCCCAAAGTTACCAGACTCAAATTCACAAAGGGTTCCCTGGGTCACTGACGTACCACCGGATGCGGGTCGTCACCCGCTCCGCTACCAATATGAATTGGAAACGGGATCGTCAAATGCCCAACTTTTACCACGGCAGCGCGGTATGACTCAAGGGCCCTAAAGCCAAATGTCAACGGGGGCATGTGATCACTTGGCTATACAAAATATACATTAGACAGGTCAAACTCACACATTGTGATGTTCCATAGTTTTTTGTATGTTTACCAGATGGTATTATCCATTATATCCCATATAAATCCCATATAAATCCCATTAATGTTTCTTAATTGTCAGACTGTCAGAGTTCGACATTCGGAACATGTCCGAAAAACATGTCCTCCGGGAGCTCCCCGGGCAAGGTGTCCCCCTTGATGTAAACTTACAAGGCCCATCAACTAGTTTGATATATATATATATACACATATACCTATAGCTTCAAGACCCTAACATTTTGTAGGTCTTTTTCCGAGACCTCGGGTTTTTTCCAAATTTAGAAAAAATATGGGTTCTGTAATCAAAAACCCGGGTCTTGGCAAAAGACCTATTTTTATGAATATTTATATATGTTCAATGAACCATGGTTGATAATGTTTTGTGATGTTTATCATACCCTGCAGTGCCATTATTATATATATATGTGCGCCTAACATCTCAATGAAACCAAGTTAAAGACCAATGGTAATGGATATACCACATCTATATGTGTTCACCAGTACACACCTATACTTCCACTATATACTTCATATATCTATAGACATATACATGGAACCACACAAAGATATATACACGTACCCAAATGCAGATGGTGATTACGCAAACAAACGGTAAACCAATTGAATAATTCAATGCTACATATTCAGAATCATGGGTATCGGGACCCCAAAATTCATCTGTGATCAGCTTAAATTTCTGGGGCTGAGGAATTCCAAATATATTTGGTTTGTCCAATTGTGGCTTTCAAGTGGTTCTAACTTGTTTTTTTGACATTTTTGGGATTTTGGTGAAAAAAAAGGTTCTGTCATGAGAACCCGTATTTAACCCGTAACAACCCGTATTTAACCCGTACTAAACCCGTATTTTTATGATAGAGAACCCGTATTATTTTTGGTCTAACGAAAACCCGGGTTTTGTGAACCCGTATTTAAACCGTACCTAACCCGTATTTAACCCGTACTAACCCGTATTTAAAATATGTTTTTTTTGCTCTCCAGGCTAAGGGGAACAATGGTGGATTTTTTGGTCCGATCATTGTTTTGACACGGCTTTAGATGGCAATCTGACATCTGAAATTAGCGGTCCAAAAAAGATGTTGATCAGCTGTGTGTACTTGCTCAATGGATCAAATGCAGAATCGTGGGTATGCGCATGTTAATGTGTCTGACTGTGCATTATATCTGGTGGTTGTAGCCATTTTGGATATTGATTTATAGGTTCCTGGCTGAAACGGTTCCATCCCATCATACCCAATGGCTTCTGTTGTTGGCTCCACCCGTCATTGGAGTTGCACAACTTTGAATGATGGTGTCGATGCGCTGTTGGATGCATCCAATAACAACGATGCAGAATCATTTTATACGCACACAGGAGAAACAACACAAGTTCCAAGACAATTACATCATTTTCATGATTTTCCAAGTGTTGGAAAAATCACATTTTTTCGAAACCCCGGGTTTTCTTTCGAAACCCCGTCATTTCTGAGGGGACCTACGTTTTCATGGGATCCTGAAGCTTCTGGTAGATATATGGTTGGTGGTTTCAAACATTTTTGGAATTTTCCATCATATATGGGATGTCATCCTTCCCATTGACGAACTCCAATTTTTTTCAGAGGGGTAGGTCAACCACCAACCACCAACCCCGGCGTGGCGCCAGTGGCGCCATGGCGTCGCAGCGTTTGGGGCTGCTGTTCTTCCATGCTGTGGCCGTTTCCAGCGAGGCGCTGACGGAGAAAACGTGGATGTGATGTAGAACTGGCAATCTATAGGAAAATCCTTGAGGAATTGTTAGGATTTATCATGAAGTGTCATATTTTATCATGTTTTATCATGTTTTATCATGATTTATCATGATTCACAGGAGGTTTATGTGGGAGATCTATGACATTTCAATGTATTTTGTCAGGAGATTTATGGGATGAATGAGGTGGACAAAACAGTGCGCAACGTGTTGGATTTATGATGATTTTCACATGCCGTACATTTTGAACATAGATCTATGATGTGGCAATTCCATATATTTGTTTGTATTGGAACATAAATGTCACATATATGACACAAAAACGAGTCATATATGTTGTATATTGATCCATGAAGTAGGCATGGTATAGCGACAGAACATGACAGAACTTCACTCAGAACCTTGGAGATCCCATCATCCCAACATGTCAAGCTGGGTTTATCAACTTCTCCAGAACCAAACTGTGGGGAATCCTATGGATTCATGGGGCTGTTGGATCAATGGTTGATATCTCTATGATGTCCCCATTGTATCTCCGTTGCTCGTTCCACCAAATTGCCTGACTCCTCAATTAGTTTAAATCCCGACATGTTTCTTCAGTTTCTTCAGCCATTTCCCCACAAGATTCCCATTTGTCCTAGTTGAAGTCCCATCACATTTTGTTGGCGCTGAAAACAGGTCGACTATTATTTGGCGCAGCTCTTGTCCGACCAAAACTGTTTGGCCGGTGGTCCAAACTGCAGCGTGAAGGCGGATGTGCCGAAACAAAGGGGATGTTTCACATTGTTCCACATCACTTTTTGTTGTGTTGGATAATATACGTGTGTATATATATAATATTATATATTATTATATGATATGTATGTGTTCATATGTTTTCATGTTTTGTTGGGTGATGTGAAAACATAGGACATTTAGATACATCTACCAACTTGTGGTATTAATTAGTGGCCATTTCAGGTACCTAATTTATATAGCTACAGTATCTACCTATTATACAGTATAGAATCTGTGTAGATATATACCTATGAAATTATAGTACCTATAAGTCTCTGTAAATATCCCTATTATTTAGTATTTCAGGTACCTATGAATCTGTGTTTTTTTCGGGCCTCCAGGGAACAGAAAACCCCCCTTCGAAATCTCCACGTCTACCCAGAAATGTAGCTCCAGTGTCGTGGCTGCGTGGCTCCATCGTACGTTTGGCGCTGGGCCTTTGGTGAGGATCATATTGGTTTAATATTGGTTATTATAGGGGATTTATAGGGGATATAATGGATATTACCCTCTGGTTATGACTAACAGTTCGCCATGGTTATTACGATGGCCCATAGAAATAGATGGTTTACCGTTCTTAAACATGGTGTTGATTTTCCATGGCAAACTGTTAGTCATAACCAGATGGTATTAATATTGGGATACATTGAGGATATTCTGGTTGCTTTCTGAAACCAACTGGAAGAAACTCAGGATGTAACCAAGAATAGTTTAACAATGAAAAGGAATGCTGTTATGGGATATTACCTGGGGAAAGCACCTGCATGGAAACATCGACTATTTATGACTAGTTATTTCATGTTATTTCTATGTTGGTGCTCGATCGTTTGCTGAGTTGATTTTTTGAACTATATATATATAGCTAAACAATTGGTTTTATATGGTTTTATAGGATAGATCTTTCTACTATAGTAGATACATCATATACATCAGTATATATATATATAGCTAAAGATCCATATTGATATATCTATATACATATATATATATATATTAATCTTTCTATAATATATATATAATATTATGATCCAACTTGTACGTTACTTGGGGCGATGCAAGGTTTATGTTATGATCCGAGCACTGCGGGGAGCATTTTTGATTTGCCATCCCGTCATGCTGTCCCTTGCGTGGCCGATAATATACCATTTTATATACACATAACCCTGGATTATGGGGAGTATTTTTCTAGCATACGCATATGGAAATCCGGGGACTCTCCTCCTTTCTGACGACATGGGGATGAACAACGAAACCAGTCGTGACTTATTTTCCTCGTGGTTTTATGATTTCACCGTAATTTTGAACACGGTTTTGAGGGGTACAGGTGGTGCCAAAATTATAAAACGAAATGAGGAGTACAAAAGTACGGTAAAATACCATATCTTCGTACTCCTCCGGATCCAGAGTCCGCACGGATTCGGATGCTGTTCTATATATTTTTTTTTCTGTTCTATATATATTTTGTTTTGTTCTATAATTTCTGGCACCTCCATGATATCTATTGCACATTTGTATACAGTACATAATTACATATATATATATATATATATATATACCGTAGATACCCTTCTTGGAAAACCCCACAATGTGTTTATTTTGTGTACATATATTTGCATCATTTTATGTATTTGTTTGGGACCCCAGAAAAAAGTGACACAGAAACCAGAATTATAGAACGGTTTACGCAAAATTAATTATAGAAGGGAAAAAATAAATATAGAACGAAACTGGTAAATGTGGGAAAAATTGGGGAAAACACAATTATAGAACAAACCAGAAGTATAGAACGACGAAAAAAATAGGAGTAAGTTAAGATAAGTTTTTTTTCCATACCCTCCGAGGCTCCGAGGAAAACAGAATTATGGAACAACAGGGTACTGTAAAAAACCGTACCTTCGTACTCCTCAGCTTCCGTTCTATAATTCTGGCACCGAGCATAACCCCCACTTAAATAGTAGGCTTCATGAATCAGCTGATATATACATATACCCTCTGGTTATTTAACATAGCCATGGAAAATGGACCATTTACAGATGGTTTACCTGGGTTTACCTATTAAAAATGGTGATTTTCCATGGCTATGTTAGTCATAACCAGAGGGTATATATATCAACCATAGCTCCTTAGCTCTCCTGAAGAAATTCACCAAAAAAGGTCGCCCTCCTGGGTGTTTTCAGACAAGCTCTGGCTCACTTTTTGGAGCACGACATTGCAACATATTTGGACATAGGTCCTGATTTTATGTCCCCACCAAATGGTTTAAGTTAAAGAATTTCCATGTTTTTGTTGGTGAAGCTAACCTTGGTAGGTTCCATAAAATACCCATACTGGTTGGTGGTTTCAAACATTTGTTTTATTTTCCATAATATATGGGATAATCCTTCCCATTGACTAATATTTTTCAAGATGTTCAAACCACCAACCAGCATAAAATAACCATGTCAATATCCTGGAAAAAATCGAAATCCAAACCGACAGGCCCTTTTTTCCCCCAGAGTCTCCGGAAAGCGAACTCGAGAGTTGGAGGCCGGGGGAGATGGCCTGGATGATGATCTTTAGATGTTCGATTTCCCATAGGGAACTCCAGATTCCAACGGTTGTCTCAATGGATTGGTTTAAGGGAAAATTTACAGGAAACCATGGTTTTTACCATCAAATATAGGGGTTTCCTGTAAATTTTCCCATCATCCAATTCTATGGTTGTCTGGTTGAATTTTATGACTTTCCAGAAACAGTTGGGAATGGAATAATCCCAACTGACCTGCACTCCATCATTTTTCAGAGGGGTAGGGCTCAACCACCAACCAGTTGTCTATTGCAGTGTTTCTGGCCTTGGACCGACAAAAAGTCACGATCACTTCGTGGTTTACTGACGAGTCCATGGTTCCCCTTGGCCACGTTCAAGGCTTTTCCAGCGCCATGCTGGGAACTGGAATCAGTTTATGATATTTTCTAGGGGTTTGACCATTTGGAAATCGAACATTGCTATGGAACATGGACAATTTACAGATGATTTACCTATTAAAATGGTGATTGTACATAGCTATGTTAGTTTACCAAAGGGTATGAATGGTGATATCTTAAGGGTAGGTTTTCAGGGGATATATTTTAAGAGCATACAATCGAATATATACATTTGGATATACGTGACCAAAAATCTGATGTTTGGGTTTGTCCGAACTCCAAAAATGGGGGATACCTCAAAATAACCTATTTGAAACTTTTCAGGAACATCAAGTTTTTAGTGTTATCTCGGGATTTTGGGCTACCCTGCTTTTTCAGACAAAGCCACACATTTTTTTTTTGCGGCAATTTTGCCAATAGTGAACCATTCCGATGACATCACCAATTAGTTGGATGTCATGTTACCCTCTGGTAAACTAACATAGCTATGGAAAATCACCATTTTTAATGGGTAAATCCACTATAAATGGTCATTTTCAATAGCTATGTCAGTTTACCACAGGGTATACCAAGCAATCAGAAACGTGACTTATGTCCCATCATGTCCCACCATGTCCCATGGAATTTTCTCTGAAATTGTGGGATTCTCATGGCTACCAATTCCAATGGGGCTACTCATGGGACCTTTTACGTGGTACTAACCATGTCTAAATATACAACATACCCTCTGGTAAATTAAGAGTCTGACCCTAAGAAAATCACCATATTTTAGAGGAAACTCACAAAAATCAAACTCATCTTCCAAGCCCTATCTACCAGGGTCGAACTGTTAATTTACTGGAGGGTAATTGATGTTCCAATCGTATTGGATAACCTCAGCTCAGGGGAACGATCCGTTGGAGCCCCTCAAGATGGAGCCGCCACCGACGCTTCGCTTTCCGCGTTACGCCGTTGTTTGGGACGTGGAACCCCCAATTGTTTGGGGAAAACCTGAACTACAAACAATAAGGATTTAACCCGATTTAACCCCAACCATGTGTGGTTTGGTAGAAACCATGTAGAAAGCAGTTGTCCCAACTACCAAGTATAGGGAAAACTGTTTTCTCAAAAAATGGATTGGGTTGTAGCCTGAATTTCAGACAATCTCACTGGTGGATTTCAGGGTTTTTCCCAGAATTTGATGGCCAAATTTCTCATATGTCCCACTCAAGTCCTATTTGATGGGCACCCCATTTTGAGTCAAAAGAATTTCTTTCTGTGGGCGGTGTGTCTGAAAATGGAGTACAGTAACACAGTACCCATAAGTCGAATGATTCATCATAGTTTTCCCGATCAACATATGGCCAATAGTTGGGAGGTATCCCTCATTTTCAGACATATCCAGTTTCTTGTGATGTTTTTGGTGGTTTTCAGCCACAGGGCCAAGGAATCCAGTGCGTTCATTGTCCAACTCTGATTTGCTTCCGGTTGGCAGGCTGAGACTACAAAAATAAAAATAAATAAAATGAGAAAATGCATATTTTGGTGCGGTGAAAGTGCTGAAGTGGCCATCATCAAGTTTTTTGCCAGTTCTAGGGGGGCTCCTTCTTGATTGATGTGCCAGGGCGTCACAATCTCAACATTTACATTGTTCTTTAGCAAAGAAAGCGGTGTGAAATAAGCCTATAATTCTTGGATCCAAAATTTTGCGGCTTATGACATGTTATGACTAAGAGCTGCTTCCCCATAGCCCAGCCTCTTTCAGAGCTCAGGAATTATCCCAAGAAGTTCTACTGTGGAGCCGGGTCACTGGGACTGTTGGAATGATGCCATGTTGCTGATTCTTGGGTGGATAATTAAAGATACCCTCTGGTTATTTAACCTAGCCATGGAAAATGGCCCATTTATAGAAGGTTTACCTATTTGAAATGGTGATTTTCCATGGCTATGTTAAATAACCAGAGGGTAGCAATGGAAAAAACGTGAAAATCCATCATCATTGTGAATTATTGTCTATGGTAGAGACGTATCAATCATTTAATGGAGACACATACCCATCTATTTATCATGGCAATCATCATGGTGGACAGTGGATGATTTCCTTTATATAAGTATATAAGGCATATCTATTAATGATGTTTTTCATTTAGTGATGATGGCATTATTATCTAAGGTATCTACTAGTATCTACTAAAAGTGAACATGTTCTAAGGCTTCAGAAGGTTCTTTGCTATTGGACAAGTTCAGAGGTCCGGTCAGTTTATGACCCTAGGATGCTACATCACCCTGGGTACCCGTGCAGCAATTCACCAGAAATGGAATCATGTCTTTTTTGAAGCCGAAATTGGATGTGCATGTCATTGGTAAACACCACATGACATGACATTGCCAAAAATTAGTTCACCATATATTTCTATCCATATTATAAGATACCATGGATGGTAAATCCATGTAAGTCCATTGGATTAACACTGGATGGTGAATGGTAAATCCAGTGTTCATTCATAAAACATGATAAAACCATGGATGGTACCCTCTGGTAAACTAACACAGCTATGGAAAATCACTATTTTTAATGGGTAAATCCACTATTTCAATGGCAATTTTCAATAGCTATGTTAGTCATTACCAGAGGGTAACACCATTTCACCATATCACCATGGTTTTATGAATGAACCACTGGAGGCAGCCATCCTGGCGTTTAAAAAACCAAGGCGCCGGCTGCGGAAGACGGGCCAACAGGAGACCTGCGTATTACTGTTTTGTGGTCGGTGCTGGAGTCACCCAAAACAAGGGTCACTGAACAAATCACTTGTGTCGATTAACACATTTCTTAAAAAATGTGATTTGTTTGGTAATGATTATATAACACATGTTAAAAGTGGATTTGTTTAGTGACCCTTATTGTTAATCCACTGTTTAAGTGATTGGGTCGATTTTCTAAAGTTGGAAGCCCTTTTTTCGTGAATTTTGGATGATCCCAATGGAAGCCACGACTCTGCGAGACACCAATGTTATCTCAATATTCCATTCATATCCCATGAATATGCCTTTTAATATGCCATTTGATGTGAATATGTCATATATAATATATATATTTCATATATATATATATATTTCATATATAATATCCCAACATATTTAATATAATATCCCATTAATATAGGACTAGTCCATTTCCCCAACAAAAAAATACCAGAACGAGCGGCCAAACCAGGACTGGCGGCCGGCCAAACCAGGCGATGCCTCGAGGACACGGAGCGGAGAAACATGAGGATTTGATGGGATTGTAGGATTTGACTTGGCGTGATCTATGTACATAAGTATATATATGTATATATCTCTGGGTAAATTATAACGACCTCACTGCGACCGAACCCTGGAATCATAGTTAGTAAGGGGAATCATCCCCAAATGGCCGCAAGATTCAGGTTAGTGAAATATTATAATTTACCCAGATATATCATGTATATATATATATATTATATTTTAACATCATTTGACATGATTTGGCATGATTTAAGACATGATTTAAGACATGAGTATCGGACAAAATTATTAGCATTTGAAAGTAGTAGAGAGCTGCCTTGAACTTTGCTCGCCTTCACGAAACCTTCACAACCGATAGGGGACGACCCAGCACCGATACCCCTAGATCCCAACACGTTCCCACAATAATCTGGATTAGGGCGTTTATTTCTGCAGCAGCGGCTACAAGCAGGGCTGTAAAGAAGTACGTCAGCTAGCTTTCTCTTGGAGAGCACCAAGCATATTGTTTGCGGCAATTCATGCACCATTCTCACCGATACCTCAACCGATACCAACCGATACCCAATTTTGCAATTATTCTCGCTTGCCGAGACCATGTCCCACGTACTACTCTTGCTGCTACCGCTTTTCCTACTGCCACTACTGCTACTACTACTGCTACTACTGCTACTACTGCTACTACTGCTACTACTGCTACTACTGCTACTACTGCTACTACTGCTACTACTGCTACTACTGCTACTACTGCTACTACTGCTACTACTTACTACTACTACTACTACTACTACTAGCACTACTACTAGCACTACTACTAGCACTACTACTAGCACTACTACTAGCACTACTACTAGCACTACTACTAGCACTACTACTAGCACTACTAGCACTACTAGCACTACTAGCACTACTAGCACTACTAGCACTACTAGCACTACTAGCACTACTAGCACTACTAGCACTACTAGCACTACTACATCTACATGTACATCTACATCTACATCTACATCTACTACTACTACTACCACTACTACTACTACTACTACTTCTTGTACTTGTGCTTCTACTTATTTTAGTACAACGAGCAGCGCTTGCTACTGGATGTTATCAAAGAGCCAATATCTTCACAACTGATAGGGGACGACCCAGTTTCGCCCGTGGCAATTGCGGGGAACAAATAATTTTGTCCGCCACTCACATGTTTAAACCTGATTTCAAGCTGACTGAAGTTGATTTATGATCCCATGACCCGATCAATAGGGGCTATGGATGATATTAGTGAAATATGCCGGGTATATGACCAACAGAAGTGGTAAGACTGGGGATGCACAATGCATAACTGGGATATCATGAGTACGAACTTCAATATCACTGCTTAATGGGTCCGATTGTTGAGTTTGGAGTTTCAACATGAGATGATGATCCAATTTGATGATATCAAGAGGGTCAAAACCATTATCTCGATCAACAAAAACTGAACATTTGGTAGTCAGCTTGTTATCTCACAACGGTTGATTGATGTAATTTGATCATGAATATGATGTTATCTCAAAAACTGAAAAATAATGAAGATGATGTAGTTTGATCATTCGCCTGGCTGGCTGCTTGAGTCATCTCACAACGGCCAGCCACGGTTGATTGCCACGATGAATCCGGCAACTTGTTCAGCCGACTTGACATATCGGCTGACATATCTTGACCAAGATTGCCGAAGCCTTCAGTGATGGTGAACAATCCCAAGATATCCCAAGTCTGGTTGCTTGAAAATGTTCGGTGCTTCCAGACTTGCGCGGGTCAATGGTTCTGGATGGTTTCCGGGTCAAAGTTGAGTACCTTCCAAACATGTGAGTTACTCCCAAAACAGCCACGAGCTGATGGCATGGCAGATAGTTCCTTACGTGGGTGTTTCATCCGCTTGTGGTACTTAAGTGCCCTTCCATTACACCCCAATGAGCCACCTTCCCTTCTAGATTTCAACACCCATGTTTATCCCCCAAAAAGGGACCAAGGGACCGCAGCTATTGGACATATACCGGAATTCTGACCCAGACCCTAATCGCCACCAGTCTGTGTGGTTCGATGTTGCCCCATGTCCAATTTTGATTGAGGTTTTCCTTCATGGCATACTGTCCGGCAATCAGAAGTTGGCATCTTGGAATATTCCCATTATTTTGAGACAGACCCACCATTTTTTGTGGAGTTCCCATCAATATCTATAGTAATAAATTGTACTTGATATCCATCAATATCAGACACACGAACTATATAGTGAGTTGACATCACTTATCATCCACCAACATATTCTCATCATATCCCGCTGAAACTCCCATCCAAATTGTGGTAGTAATATCATGTAATATCCATTTTTGGGTGACTATATAACTAGTTGGTTGATAGGTTTCCTATGTCACCAGCTAGTAATAGTTAGTATATAATTCCTTACTTCATAAATCTTCACCAATCAACAGTCCCCCAGTTGGGTATAACTTGACAGGAAGACTGCCTATGTCCTGGCTGTGGGAGATTGGGGTGCCACGACCTGTCCTCATGAGCAGCTCGGTCGACAACCGACCACCCCATGTTCGGACAAACACCACTGTCGTTGGTAAAATCATTTTAAGTCCCAATATGGGTGTGTCTGAAAATAGTGTACCCCTAAACCCAATGGTTAATGATCATTATCCCTATTAAATGGCTATAATTGGGAATATACCCTATTTTCAGACATACCCATATGTATATATATATATACATCTCATTGGCTAAATTCCCACTATTGTTGATTCTATCACCATTTGAAACATCAAACAACTGGGAGTAGATCAACAAAGCTGTGGATGATCATGTCATCTTCTTGCGCGACGTTGTCCAGCACAAAAACTTTGTTAAGGCTGGCGCATTGGATAGAATCACATAGAACATGATCAACTCTACATATCTCTATAAGGAACTTCAAGCGATTTGTTTATATATATATATGTCTGTATTGGACAGATGAGAAACTCTGTAGATGCTGCATGTCTCTGTTTAAATTATTGTTTAGGAATTGTTTAGTGGTTTTGAATATCCGTTTCTTTGCAATGCCTCAACTTGGTGGTTGTTTCAAATCTCCGGTTTTCCAGTCTACCTAAGTTGTTGATGATTACAACTATATTATTACTATTGATGATCACCATTGATGATACATATATAGATATGCATATATATATGATATATAGATTATATGTAAAACAAAAAACATATAGTTTGAAACTACGAAGCAACAAAACATTGAATGGCGGATGGTCGCATCGTCGGTGCCGCAGCGTCTCAACCAGCAAGGGATCTGCCCCCTGTAGTGTACAAATTCAGATGATTTCAGAGTTAAAGAAGTATCTCTACACCACACACATATCAAATATTTATCCACCTGGATGTAGATATATGTAGATGTATTTGACATTTGGATGCACATACTGGTACGTATACACACAGATATTGTATGGATATAACATAAATGATATTAAATTGAATGCACAGCATCCAGTCCAATATACCTATTATATATATACTGTATATTATACCCATATTATATATTATATATACATATATATATATAATATACCCATATATATATAATATGCCTCTATATATAATATATACCTATATAATATATATATATATGTGATTATACAACATAGAATATATAGTAGTTTCAATCCTTTGGAAACGTTTCGTCATTGGGTGAAACCACCCTCTTTCGAGTTGTAGCCATGGACACCAGCGGCCGTGTGCGCGACGGCACGGATGACTCCATGAACTCAGAACTTGGAAGAAAACGGTTACTTGTTACATTAAGTCACTGGGATTACCCTCTGGTCAACTAACATAATTTGCTATTGAAAATGGCTATAGAAATAGTTTACCCATTAAAAATGGTGAATTTCTGTAGCTATTTTAGTTTACCAGAGGGTATTAAATTTAAGGGAAACCTTACAGGAAACTATGGCTTGTACTTTGTACCATCATAGAGAGGGGCTTTGGCCCCGTAAGTTTTCCAACCTAGTCCTGGATCCAGAGAATATCCCCGAGGCTGCGAAGATCTGCATCTGCCTCGCACGCGCTGAAGACTGAACCTGGAGGGGAAGGAAAGTCTTTGGAGATCAAAGGCTTGGATGGATCCACTTTCGAGCTCCAGGTTGGCGATGCAACCGTCGAAGAAGTGTACAAAAACATTTCAGAGAAGATTGGGCTGAAACCAGGCAGGAAATTGTTGCTGACTTCGGGCTGCATTATGCTGGATTATTCCAGACCGATGCTGCAGCAAGTGCAGGGTGGGGAAATTAGTTTCATCGTCCAAAGAATCAGTTTGAATGACTTTGCAAAAAGCTTTTGGAACGCCATTGAAGCTGAGACCAAAGAAAGTCTGACTGCTGAAGATGTGCACACACTACATGCAGCTGCAATTGTTTCAATGCACTTCGGACCACGTTTCCATCAAAGCTTGGCAGGTGTCGCGTTGCCAAGCTGCCTGCAGACCTTGACCTTTGGGGATGAGTTCGATCAGAGTTTGGCCGGTGTCACGTTGCCAAGCTGCCTGCAGACCTTGACCTTTGGGGATGAGTTCGATCAGAGTTTGGCAGGTGTCACGTTGCCAAGCTGCCTGCAGACCTTGACCTTTGAGGATGAGTTCGATCAGAGTTTGGCAGGTGTCACATTGCCAAGCAGCCTGCAGGCCTTGACCTTTGGAAAGAGGTTCAACCAGAGCTTGGCAGGTGTCACATTGCCAAGCAGCCTGCAGGCCTTGACCTTTGGAAAGAGGTTCAACCAGAGCTTGGCAGGTTTCACATTGCCAAGCAGCCTGCAGACTTTGACCTTTGGGAATGGGTTTAGTCAGAATCTGACAGGTGTCACACTGCCAAGCAGTCTGCAGACCTTGACATTTGGGGAGGAATTCAATCAGAGTTTGGCAGGTGTCACATTGCCAAGCTGCCTGCAGACCTTGACCTTTGGGCGTGAGTTCAATCAGAGTCTGGCAGGTGTCACGTTGCCAAGCTGCCTGCAGACCTTGACCTTTGGATTGTGGTTCAATCAGAGTTTGGCAGGTGTCACATTGCCAAGCAGCCTGCGGACCTTGACCTTTCGATTTCGGTTTAATCAGAGTTTGGCAGGCGTCACATTGCCAAGCAGCCTGCAGACCTTGACCTTTGGAAATGAGTTCAATCAGAGTCTGGCAGGTGTCACATTGCCGAGCAGCCTGCAGACCTTGACCTTTGGTGATGGGTTTAATCAGAATCTGACAGGTGTCACATTGCCGAACAGTCTGCAGTCCTTGACCTTAGGAGATTTGTTTATTGCAAGCTTGGCAGGTGTCACATTGCCAAGCAGCCTGCAAACCTTGACGTTTGGCCGGCACTTCAATCAGAGTTTGGCAGGTGTCACACTGCCAAGCAGTCTGCAGACCTTGACATTTGGGGAGGAATTCAATCAGAGTCAGAGTTTGGCCGGTGTCACATTGCCAAGCAGCCTGCAGACCTTGACCTTTGGGCGTGAGTTCAATCAGAGTCTGGCAGGTGTCACATTGCCAAGCAGCCTGCAGACCTTGACCTTTGGAGAGAGGTTCAACCAGAGCTTGGCCGGTTTCACATTGCCAAGCAGTCTGCAGACCTTGACATTTGGGGAGGAATTCAATCAGAGTTTGGCTGGTGTCACATTGCCAAGCAGCCTTCAGACCTTGACCTTTGGGGATGGGTTTAATCAGAATCTGACAGGTGTCACATTGCCAAGCAGTCTGCAGACCTTGACATTTGGGAAGGAATTCAACCAGAGTTTGGCAGGTGTCACTTTGCCAAGCAGCCTGCGGACCTTGACCTTTCGATTCCGGTTCAATCAGAGTCTGGCAGGTGTCACATTGCCGAGCCGCCTGCAGACCTTGACCTTTGGATTTTTCTTCAATCAGAGTCTGGCAGGTGTCACATTGCCATGCTTGCAGACCTTGACCTTTGGGGATGCGTTCAATCAGAATTTGGCAGGTGTCACGTTGCCAAGCAGCCTGGAGACCTTGACCTTTGGGCATGAGTTCAATCAGAGTCTGGCAGGTGTCACATTGCCGAGCAGCCTGCAGACCTTGACCTTTGGTCATGAGTTCAATCAGAGTCTGGCAGGTGTCACATTGCCAAGCAGTCTGCAGGCCTTGACCTTTGGAGATTGGTTCGATCAGAGTTTGGCAGGTGTCACATTGCCAGGCAGCCTGCAGACCTTGACCCTCGGAAGTTCGTTCGATGAGAGTTTGGCAGGTACCACATTAATCCAAGCAGCATGTCAGCCTTGACTTTTGGGTCACTGTTGACTATTTTTTTGGACTCAGTTCATTGTCCTCATAGTGTGCGACAAATTTGTTGGCAGTTGGCAGAGTGCACTACTTAGACCTTTTCGAAGACCAAAAACTGGGAGATGGGCTGGTCAATGCGGAAGACATCACATTTATATTTAAAACAAAAAACACCACCCATTGGGGTACCTAAATAAAATGAGGGGGCAGAAGCCCCTTTTGAAATAAAAAAAATAAAAATAAAATGAAAATACAATGGGTCAGACCCCAGCATTTTATTTTGTGGGTGCATTTTATTTTTTGAGGTGCCTAACCCATCAAGTTAACTGACAGAGATAGCATCATAGCAAAGATGCACAGCTGTGCGTCTTTGTGATGGCTGCCATCCACTAGAAATTGGGGGCCCCTAAGGCACCCGCATGAGGATTGCTATTCTTACCCTTGGGCACCCCATTTTTTTGTAGGATATATTCTTTCAATTTTCCAGACTAGGTCACTATAGTGCCTATATTGGGGGTTGGTTTGAGATGCCTGTTTTGGCTTGTCAATACTTACCACTTCCTGGCAGTTGGGGAAACAATCTATTCTGTACAGATCAGTTGGGTCTTGCCATTTTGGGGGTTTTCGGGTTTTCCTTCAAAGATGGTTAAAACCAATCAAAGAAGGAAACAAGACAAAACAAGATCAACCCAAAAGAAAATGCCGGAGCCCGAGGTCCAACAGTTGCAAAATGTAGGTCCAACAGTGGCCAGGTGGAGGGTGCCTGACGTCATTTTCTTTTTGTACCTGTCCATTGTGTTTTGCTTCGGTTTTCCTATCTTACCTTATGCCCTCTCATTTTATTGGCATTTTCTCCTTAGGCCCCTGCATTTTATTTTATTTTTTTAGGTGCCTCACCCCCCCCTGGCAACAGACGAGGGTAAAAAACATATAGTTTGAAACTACGAAGCAACAAGACATTGAATGGCGGATGGTCGCATCGTCGGTGCCGCAGCGTCTCAACCAGCAAGGGATCTGCCCCTGTAGTGTACAAATTCAGATGATTTCAGAGTTAAAGAAGTATCTCTACACCACACACATATCAAATATTTATCCACCTGGATGTAGATATATGTAGATGTATTTGACATTTGGATGCACATACTGGTACGTATACACACAGATATTGTATGGATATAACATAAATGATATTATATTGAATGCACAGCATCCAGTCCAATATACCTATTATATATATACTGTATATTATACCCATATTATATATTATATATATAATATACCCATACATATATAATATGCCTCTATATATAATATATACCTATCTTATATATATATATGTGATTATACAACATAGAATATATAGTAGTTTCAATCCTTTGGAAACGTTTCGTCATTGGGTGAAACCACCCTCTTTCGAGTTGTAGCCATGGACACCAGCGGCCGTGTGCGCGACGGCACGGATGACTCCATGAACTCAGAACTTGGAAGAAAACGGTTACTTGTTACATTAAGTCACTGGGATTACCCTCTGGTAAACTAACATAATTTGCTATTGAAAATGGCCATAGAAATAGTTTACCCATTAAAAATGGTGAATTTCTGTAGCTATTTTAGTTTACCAGAGGGTATTAAATTTAAGGGAAACCTTACAGGAAACTATGGCTTGTACTTTGTACCATCATAGAGAGGGGCTTTGGCCCCGTAAGTTTTCCAACCTAGTCCTGGATCCAGAGAATATCCCCGAGGCTGCGAAGATCTGCATCTGCCTCGCACGCGCTGAAGACTGAACCTGGAGGGGAAGGAAAGTCTTTGGAGATCAAAGGCTTGGATGGATCCACTTTCGAGCTCCAGGTTGGCGATGCAACCGTCGAAGAAGTGTACAAAAACATTTCAGAGAAGATTGGGCTGAAACCAGGCAGGAAATTGTTGCTGACTTCGGGCTGCATTATGCTGGATTATTCCAGACCGATGCTGCAGCAAGTGCAGGGTGGGGAAATTAGTTTCATCGTCCAAAGAATCAGTTTGAATGACTTTGCAAAAAGCTTTTGGAACGCCATTGAAGCTGAGACCAAAGAAAGTCTGACTGCTGAAGATGTGCACACACTACATGCAGCTGCAATTGTTTCAATGCACTTCGGACCACGTTTCCATCAGAGCTTGGCAGGTGTCACGTTGCCAAGCTGCCTGCAGACTTTGACCTTTGGGAATATGTTCAACCAGAGTTTGGCAGCTGTCACATTGCCAAGCAGCCTGCAGACCTTGACCTTTGGAGAGAGGTTCAACCAGAGCTTGGCCGGTTTCACATTGCCAGGCAGCCTGCAGAGTTTGACCTTTGGGCATGAGTTCAATCAGAATTTGGCAGGTGTCACATTGCCAAACAGCCTGCAGACCTTGACCTTTGGGCATGAGTTCAATCAGAGTCTGGCAGGTGTCACATTGCCAAGCAGCCTGCTGACCTTGACCTTTGGGTATGGGTTCAATCAGAGTTTGGCAGGTGTGACATTGCCCAGCAGCCTAGAGACCTTGACCTTTGGGCAGAATTTCAATCAGAATTTGGCAGGTGTCACATTGCCAAGCAGCCTGCTGACCTTGACCTTTGGGGATTTTTTTCAGAGTTTGGAAGGTGTCACATTGCCAAGCAGCCTACAGAACTTGACCTTTGGGCCAGGTTTCACAATACCATTGGGGAATGTCAACTGGACCTTTGGATTTTCGCTTGATCAGAGTTTCGCCGGTGTAACATTGCCGAGCAGTCTGCAGTCCTTGACCTTAGGAGATTGGTTCGATCAGAGTTTGGAAGGTATCACATTGCCAAGCAGTCTGCAGACCCTGACCTTTGGGAATATGTTCGACCGGAGTTTGGCAGCTGTCACATTGCCAAGCAGCCTGCAGACCTTGACCTTTGGAGAGAGGTTCAACCAGAGCTTGGCCGGTTTCACATTGCCAGGCAGCCTGCAGACTTTGACCTTTGGGAATATGTTCAACCAGAGTTTGGCAGCTGTCACATTGCCAAGCAGCCTGCAGACCTTGACCTTTGGAGAGAGGTTCAACCAGAGCTTGGCCGGTTTCACATTGCCAGGCAGCCTGCAGACTTTGACCTTTGGGAATATGTTCAACCAGAGTTTGGCAGCTGTCACATTGCCAAGCAGCCTGCAGACCTTGACCTTTGGAGAGAGGTTCAACCAGAGCTTGGCCGGTTTCACATTGCCAGGCAGCCTGCAGAGTTTGACCTTTGGGAATACGTTCGATCAGAGTTTGGCAGGTGTCACATTGCCAAGCAGTCTGCAGACCCTGACCTTTGGTCGGCAGTTCAATCAGAGTCTGGCAGGTGTCACATTGCCAAGCAGCCTGCGGACCTTGACCTTTGGAGATGGGTTCGATCAGAGTTTGGCAGGTGTCACATTGCCAAGCAGTCTGCAGACCCTGACCTTTGGGTGCTTTTTTCAGAGTTTGGAAGGTGTCACATTTCCAAGCAGCCTGCAGAACTTGACCTCTGTGCCAGGTTTCACATTGCCATTTAATTTTAACTGGACCTTTGGATTTTCGCTTGATCAGAGTTTCGCCGGTGTCACATTGCCGAGCAGTCTGCAGTCCTTGACCTTAGGAGGTTTGTTCGATCAGAGTTTGGCAGGTGTCACATTGCCAAGCAGTCTGCAGACCCTGACCTTTGGTCCGCAGTTCAATCAGAATTTGGCAGGTATCACTTTGCCAAGCAGCCTGCGGACCCTGACCTTTGGGCATGAGTTCAATCAGAGTCTGGCAGGTGTCACATTGCCAAGCAGCCTGCAGACTTTGACCCTTGGAAGTTCGTTCGATGAGTGTTTGGCAGGTGTCACATTGCCAGGCAGCCTGCAGACCTTGACCCTCGGAAGTTCGTTCGATGAGAGTTTGGCAGGTACCACATTAATCCAAGCAGCATGTCAGCCTTGACTTTTGGGTCATTGTTGAATATGTTTTGGACTCAGTTCATTGTCCTCATAGTGTGCGACAAATTTGTTGACTGTCGGCAGAGTGCGCTACTTAGACCTTTTCGATGACCAAAAACTGGCAGATGGGCTGGTCAATGCGGAAGACTCTTTGCAGCCTCTTGTTAAAAAATCTTTGTGTACCGTTCGATATCCAAAACATTCTAACATTTGGGTACCAATCGTAAACTTTGGCCCCGTTCCCACGCTGCTTTTTTTGTGCAACATTGTTTGTTTGTTGTTGGTGGCTGCACCCGTATCTATGCGTTTGCTGACCAACTTCATAGTTTGATAGGTTATACATGTCTCATCAGTGTCCTGCAGTCGTGTACTTTGTCTACATTTGATGGAAATAGATGGAAGTGACTTATTCAAAAACTTGTGTCACTGTTGATTGTTTGCCGACGGATCAAATCACACGGCATGAACATCCTGATTTTACAGGATGATCGTATTCAAACTTGTTACCCATTTGTTGGCTCTTGGATCAACTATGATTCTTGATTTTAACATATCTGTAGCACAGTATTATATACTATCTCCATAATCCTCAAGTCTATTCTTCAAGCGCTTCTGGTCCCAGAGAACTATCATAGTCATGTAGAAAACTCGAAAAGCATGGTATCCTGCACGACTTTTGCCTGGAACCAAGATGCGCATGTTGTAAGAAGAGGATTTCCCAATGCCATTATAATAATAATATAATAATATATATATAAATATGTTTGTGTGTATCTTAGTTTTGAGTTTGAAGATGTTGTCGAACAAGAAAAATCATAGACGATGCATTTCATTGAACCGGAGGGGGTGGATATGGTTCAATATGATTCAATCAAACGAAATTGGGATATAAACATTGAAAACAATGTTGATGGGTATGTCATGGGTATAATCATGGGATATAAGCCATCATAGGGTATATAAACCATGTTCCAAACATACATAGGGCCACAGGATATGAAACCAAACATGGGGTCGGTCAATCACGACTGGACCGTCACAATGGGCATGATGAAAACACCCAACTGAGCCATTAAAACTGATTAATTACCCTGGTTGATTGGTCAATATATAGGGAATTATACTACCTAATTTATTGGGGGTTATGAGAACCTATAGGAGGGACCTATCAACAAATGTAATTATGAGATGGGTTAGTTGTCCTTTCTTTTTGATGGTTCAGCTAACCACTTGGGTGGTTTTCTGCCATGGCAGCAGGGTGAATTGATACGTCCATACCCTTTGTAAAGCCTTTAGACCATGTGTTGATGTTACCCTGTGGTGATCAAACATGGCTAGCTGGGAAATCCGCAAGAAATCAGTTTTTTTTTAAGCTGGGAAAAGAATCTATCAAATGTAAATATATAGGATTTTCATGAATTTTCCATTGCCACGTTTGATTATGGAAGGGTAAACACCACAAACATGAGGATGATGATCATGCGGAAGTAAGTTGCTGAAAGAAGGAACAACTATGATTCATGAATGCGTACTGTATGACCAACTGTTATATATATAATGGTGATGTAACCTGTAGCAACTTGTGCATCAGCAATGATGCACATACTTGTCCGCGTTGTTTCTACATGGATATTCAGCCGATGTTTATCCAGGGCTGGAGCATTTTCCGAAGTCTATGTGATGTCCCCCCTTGGAGGTGTACAATGCACCCATCAATCTCAGGACCTGGGACGAACACATGACCAAGTGCGTGAAGTACATCGTTATGGAGAGAAGCTATGCTGAAACAATTCTTAAGTCGGTTTTATGTGTTTTTCCCCACCTGTCAGGTGAGGGTTGTTAGATTTTCTGTCAGCTGTCCCGCCCGCCTCCCGCCTCCCGCCTTCTGCTCCACCTCCTCCGCCGGACCTCAACTGCAACCTCAACTGCAAGCTCTTGATTGCAGTGGTCCCCTCAACTGCAAGCTCTTGATCGCAGTGGTCCCCGCCGGACCTCAACTGCAAGCTCCGGATCAGAGTGGTCCCTGCCGGAGCTTAACCGCGAGCTCCGAGTGTTCCCCCCCGGACTTCAACCACAAAGAATCTCCGAAGATATACCAGATAGAATGCCAGAAAGAAAGTCAGAATATATATGTATATATGTAGAGATATGCCAGAAAGTATGTCAGAATAGATGCCAGATAGAATGTCAGAAAGAATGTCAGAATATATGCCAGAAAAAATGTCAGGTAGAATGTCCGAATACACTTCCAGATGGTATGTCAGAAACTATGTCAGAAAGTGGGGATCACTTGAAGAAAGTTTTTTTCCTTCGACATGGTGAACTAATTCATTTAATGAATTTGACGGTTAGATTTTCATTACAGTTATGGCCCGAAATACCAGTTATAAGTACTGAACTAACCCCATTTATAGAATGTATAATCCCATAGAAATCACCAGTTATAACTAATAGCCATGGCCATGTCCCTGTAAATGGTGACGCAGCCCTGGTTTTCTACCGCCAAGTAGGTGACGGTCGGTGCCCAAAAGAGTTGGACTTATCGTGTGAACAAGGCACCCCTGAACAATGCCCAACATATCAGGAATATGATGTTATATAGTATCATGATTGATGGTTATATATCAATAGTATCAATAGTATCATGATACTAAATGAGACTAATATTAACCATATTCCTGATACTATATCAATCATGATTGATGGTTATATATCAATGATACTATTGATTATAGTCGATTAATACGGGTATGGTTAATGATACCCAAACCAATTGATTAATCAAGTGTCATCAGCTATCCAATATGGATATGTTATTTTTTCCAATGCCCAATGATATTGTACCATTGATAATCTAATATGGATGACTACAGCTTGGTCAAACAGATGAAACACTTGGGATGATGGTCACTTTAAACGCAGGTGTCATAGGCAAAAAATGCATGATATACTCAAATTGTGGGATTGTCACCGATCCACTTATAGGGAATTATATATATATATATATCCATTGTGTTTGGAATCCGTGGAGTTCTATTCATGATGGTGGGATGACCATAAACCACATATATATATATACACATGATTTATTGTCCGTGGTATATATGAACCAGTAAAAATACACCTGTTGATTAGTATATATATATATAATGGTTTATACTACCAGGTTTATCAGGGATTATTGCTACTCACAATGGAAATAAACATAAATAAACCATTAGAATGGGACTGGGATAAGGGTGTTTTGCGTGGTTTATGTGCCTGGATAAATTACAACGACCTCACGTCGCGACCTCAATGATGGAATGATGGTGAATGCAGGGGCTAGCTATCCCAAAACAGTTTTTATTTCAGATTGGTGAATTATTGTAGTTTACCTAGAGGCATCACTAATTTTCCCACTATTTCCCTATGTTGTTCCCTATTATTCCCGCGTTGTTTTCACTATTTTCCGCGTTGATTGGCCACTTCATACCTTGGTTCCACCGGTCCAACTGAGGACAGCGTGGTGCTGCGTGGAAAGACATCTACCAGTCGCCAGGCGACACGGCGACGCCACGAGTTGGTCAAATTTCCATAGCCATGGGGATACATAGCTGGATGGTTTATTTCATCGAAATTCCTATTCAAATGATTTCAAATGGGTGTTTTTTTTCCTGGGGGTACCCCCATTTGAATGGAAAACTCCATTTGAATTTCGGATTGGAAAACATGAAGATAAACCCATTGGGATTGGATGCGATACTTTTGGAACATGGTGCAACATGGAGGATTTGTTGGAAACCGTGGATCTACCAAGTGAAAAAATCCATGTTCAAAACAGAGTAAGTTTCTGAGTGGTACATTTTTTTCAGTCCCTAGTCCTTTGAAATCCCCAAGAGCCGACCATTGATCATGTTGTATTCTTGATTACACCAGATCATACAATGATATACAATGTAAATCCATGTGACACCCCCATGAATCCTATAAACACACGTACACATAGTAAAATGATTTTCGTACGGTATCCTTTTCCTTTCCTCTTGTTATTTGTTTGCATTTCTGCCATGACCTAAAGCCAGTGGAAGGACTTCAATGGTGATGACCTTCATCCACACCATTGGATTTCTTACAAAAAACGCCAAGTTCTAGTGTTCTCTAGGGTCCCGAATTCTAAGCAAGAAATCCACGCGACGTGGCCAGAACGGTGAGATGCATGGAAACGAGAAAACCAGAAAACCGAGAAAACCAGAAAACCGAGAAAACCGAGAAAACCAGAAAACCGAGAAAACCGAGAAAACCGAGAAAACGAGAAAACCGAGAAATGCGGCCAATAGTGCTAGTCTCCTCGGCATTTTCCTGTTCTCGCGGTTTTCGCGTTTTCGCGGTTTTCGCGTTTTCGCGCTTTTCGCGTTTTCGCGCTTTTCGCGTTTTCGCGTTTTCGCGGCTTTCAATGCTGTCTCGCAGTTTTCGTGGTTTTTGCGTGTTTCGCGGTTTTCGTAGTTTTCGTGTTTCGCGGTTTTCGCAGTTTTCGCGGTTTTCGCGATTTTCGCGTTTTCGCGGTTTTCTCGCAGTTTTCGCGATTTTCGTGCTTCGTGTTTCGCGGTTTTCGCAGTTTTCGCAGTTTTTGTTTTTTGGCTGCTTGCGCCGTTCTTGTTGTTTTCGCATTTCCACCTTTGATATTTCCATGCCATATTATTTTCAAACAGAAATCTAAATAGAGAAGTGCCGGTTTCCATGTCATAACAGCCATTTGCAGACTTGCAAGCACACACTTTGGTAAACTCCATAATGGAGAGGGTGAAATGAGATGAAATGATAACCGTCATGTCGTGTTGTTACGTTAGCATGTCATGTCATGTCATGTCATGTCATGGCATGTCGGCATGGGTGGTTTTTGGCTTGGCCACCTTGCCATTTCGGATGCAGGTACGTTTTCACGACGACATAGATGGGTCTTCGTTGGCCCGTGCCATCTATGCGTCCACGGGCCCCCTGCTTTTCCCTTTGATTCAGGGTTTCTCACACACAGCAAGCCACTAGGGCACGATGTTTCCATTCCGCTGCTTGTTCTCTTAGATCCAAGGTTTCCACTTAGACGTATATCAAGCCGCTGGACACGATTTTTCCAAGAACAACTTCCCTCGGTGTGGTTGTTTTGGACTGAATGCGAAGAAAATGACCCCTCAGCGCTGTTGGTCTTGTGTCCCATATGTCGAAAACCAAATTACAAACAAACCAAACTTTTTTGGAGTTGAAACTGAACGGATAAGACTGGTGGTTTGAAGTGAATATATTAGGTATAAAATCAAGTCTCCTGCTTGACCAAAGAACCAATCAGCAAGTATGCCGAAGAAGCAATGTCGGTTTGTAGATCTGTGTCGTCTGCGTCGCCTGGTGGTGGATCTGTGCTTCTTGCGTGTGGTGCGAGATCGTGTACGGCTGTGCTTGTTGTGACTCAGTGGTGGAGTTGAAGCTGTAGTGGTTGGAAATTGCTGTGAAAATGGCGTGGCTGGTACTGGTTGTACTAGTGTTGTGCTTGTTGACTGTGGTGTAGACTGGTAAGTGACGAATGATCCATATTGTGGTGGTGAGAGCTGAAGATTGGGTATGGCTGCATTGTAATGTGGTGGTGGCTGAAGACATGGCATGGCTGTGCTGTGATGTTGTGTGTTGAAAGCATAGAGGTTGTGTAAACGCAGAGTTGGCAAATGGTGCTTGTGTTGGCTGTGGGACGGTGTGTCCCATAAGTTGTTGTGGTTGTTGTTGTGGAGTTGGAGCAAAAGGCTGTCTGAAAGCTGCAGTGGCACACTGTGGTTGCATTGAGTGTGGTATAGTGTGTCCGGCTGGATCATGTTGTTGTGGAGTCTGAGAGAATGTTGGTAGAAAGGTGCTGATGCTTGTGTGTTCTGTGATGCTTGTGTGTTGCACATAAGTCGTCGTCGAAGCTGAGCGTAGAGCCGGTGTCCGATTCCCAAATAAGTGGTGCGTAGTGCTTGTCGTAAGTGTGGTGTTGAGTGTTGTTTTGTGACTTGTCGTTGTAAGATAAACGGGTAGTTGAGTGGTGGACACCACTTTTGGATGATGTAGCTTTCCAGCGTTCGTGTTTGTAATGTTGTATTGGTGGGTAACAACGGCAATGCGACAAATTGATGATAGTTGTTTTGGCTGCAAAACCAATGGAGTGCCAACTTGCATGACACAGGTTGTGCTCGTTTTAATTGTCTGAGCTTGCGTTGTCTGGTGTTCTGACGGTCGTGTAGCGTGTGTATGGTACTGCCGATGTAGTGTTCTGTGCTGGAAAGACGAATGTTGAGTCCCGATATGACAACTGCATGAAGAAGTATATATACAGTGTTGGATTGACAGAACATTTGTTGCAACTGTACAAAAGTGCGAACAGACTTTAAACATGTTCTGTCAAATCTCCAATTCCATTTTCGACATGATTGTTGATGAACCTGATTGGTACACCAATGAAGAAAACAAAAACCAACTGCAACACGTAGGAATGTTCGATAAGCAACAGTGTCATAGAAATTGTCAGGTGGAAAATGTTGTAAGAATCCGAAAAACGCAACGCATGCCGCCGAAAACTGTACATGATCCGGATCGCCGCGGTCTAGTCACTCTAGTTGAGTGACCGCAAACAGCGGCAGCTTGTAGAGCTCCTCATTGCGCGCCTTTGCCGCCAGCGCCACCGGCAAACCAAGCGATGCTGCTTTGTCTGCAAACGTGCTTTGCTCGGCTTTTGGGATGTTCTTCATAAGTTGATGCAATGTGCTCAATGCCTCCTGAAGGGCTGCTTGGTGTTGTTTTGGAACTGGCTGTTTTTTAATCCAAGCGTCCACTGTTTTGGTTACGAGTGTGTGCGGTGCGGCTGTGGTGAAAGGACGTGTGGTGTTTGTGCCTGGTAGATTTTGGATGCTATCCTGTAGGTCGGTGATTGTGGTTTGTCGAGGAGCATCACTTACACTGCGAGGAGTGGTGGTGTGTGCTGAGGTAGTAGTGTTTTCCGCACCGCTTGCTTTGATGTCCATGTCCATCCAATTGGACCATCCCATGTGTGCCAATTGACGTAGGTGGATACTTTCGATGGGTCGGCCTGCAAGTTGGTACCTTTGGCTCCAAGCTGTGGATGTGATTTGGCGTGGAAACGTCAAGCCATACTGGTGTTTGGTGTCAAAGTGTTCATTGTCTGGCTGGAAACTGCTCGGTAAGTTGCGGTCGTACGGCTTTGTGCCTTGTGGGCTCGGTGGTTCGTTCCAATGCTGGTGTTGTGTGTGTGCTTGAAATGCTCTTGGTGGTGTGTTGACTTGGTATTGTTTCGAATGCCAAGAATCATACGGTCTCATGCTGCCGCGCCACGAGGTCATGGTTGCACTCAAACAACGAAAAAACGTGAAGGTGTCTTGATGATTGCGATAATATTTACTTTTGAGCACGGAGATTGCTATCAGAAACAAAGTCCGAAACAGAGATTGCTATCAGAGACAACATCCGAAACAAAATTGGAACAATGGATGAAATTAGGCAATTAGGATTTGATAACATCAACAATGTTAACACATGTGACGCTTAGAGTTACAATGGGTGACGACATGTTGGCAAGACTCTTCAAAACAGTTCCAAACGGCTTGGTGGAAGTACACTGTACATCGGCTCTTTTTGTTGGTTCCGCTAATATGTTCTATGCCACGTGTCACCAGGAAGATTTCACAAGGGATATTATTTATATCACAAGGACACATTATATTTATAGGAAGGTGGAGATTCTTGAAAATTAATAAATTCGATAAAAATGACATATCATATTGTAATATAAACGGAGGTGAAACTGGCGTATCAGCAGCCTCTCATTTGCACGTCTGTCGGCAGCAGCTGCGGCTCGCCAAACTCATCTTCATGCTCAAGCATGTGCTGTACTGGTGTGGAGAAGTTTGGATCAGGCTTAAGGATCCAAATGCTGGAGATGTGTGCCAGTGTTGAGTGAATGCACCAGCGGCGATCCCGTGGTCTGTGGACTATGCCGTGAGTGTCCACTTCTTCTTGTTCGGCCCATCCAGATTCGTTTGTGACATGTGCCCAGTGGTAGTAGGCGTTGCCTGCTTGTGATAGTGATGTTGTGGTGTTGCGTGGCATGTTTTGTAAGTGTAGTTGCCACATTCTGAATTGTTGGTGCTGGTGAAATGTGATGTGGGTAAGTGTGTTGTTGATAGGCATGCCGGTTGTGACGATGTACTTTGCTAACGTTGTGGTGATGTCTTCTTGTGGTAGGTCGATGCCTGCTGGAAATCGTGTTTCCAACCAAGCTGTCATGTCACGTACACTTTTGTCCCGATCTGATAAGAATCGGAAGTATACTGACGGTGCTGTGAGCTCACGGGCTTGGAGTGTTGCTGAGTGAAGGCGTTGCTCTAACTCTTGGTACTTGAATATCTGGTAGCTGTCACGCGTGGGAGGTTCCCACGGAATGAGGACTGACGGATCCTGTTGTATTTGTCGTTCGATGGCTTCTTGAAGGTGATCAATTGCTTGTGTTGGCTGTGGTTCGTTTGT